CCTGATTTATCCCTCCCCCCACCCTTTCCCCTTTGGTAACTGTAAGTTTGTTTTCTCTGTCTGTGCGTGTTTCTGTTTCGTAAATAAGTTCATTTGTATCATTTGTTTTTTAGATTCTACAAAGAAGTGATATATTTGTCTTTCTCTGTCTGACTTCACTTAATATGACAATCTCTCAGTCCATCCATGTTGTCAAAAGTTACAGCTCTAGGGCTTCCCTGGTGGCGCAGTGGTTGAGAGTCTGCCTGCTGATGCAGGGGACACGGGTTCGTGCCCTGGTCCGGGAAGATCCCACATGCCGCGGAGCGGCTAGGCCCGTGAGCCATGGCCGCTGAGCCTGCGCGTCTGGAGCCTGTGCTCCGCAATGGGAGAGGCCTCAACAGTGAGAGGTCCGCGTACCGCAAACTGTCCAGGTCATCATGTTCATGAAATTGTATTGAGGAAAAGATGTAAGGGTATACACATTGTTTTATTGTGCTTCACAAATAGTGCTTTTTTTTTTTTTTTAAAACAAATTGAAGGTTTGTGGCAACCCTGCATTGTCAGATGATGGTTACCATTTTTAGCAACAAAGTATTTTTTAAGGTATGTACATTGTTTTTTTAGACATAATGCTGTTATATACTCAACAGACTACAGTGTAAACATAACTTCTATGTGTACTGGGAAACCAAAAAATTGGTGTGACTTGCTCTACTGAGAGATTTGCTTTATTGCAGTGGTCTGGAACCAAACCCACAATATCTCCAAGGTATGCCTGCATAGCACAGATGCCAAAAGCAAATGAGATCAAACCTAAAAAAAACCATTTAGCATGTGAGTAAAAATAAAACCTCCTTCGTTAACACTGGTGTGAATTTTACACTGTTAATACTAACACCGCATAAGGGTCTCATTACCAAAACACTGAACTGGGAGTATATTTTTGTGATTGGCTAATATTTACTGTTATAAATCTGCTTGAGAACAATTTTAGATAAAAGCTTGTTTGCTTTGAGATACAGTTTCCGTGAATGTTAGTGCTGCTGTGGAATGCATTAAGGACACAGGTTTGTGAATCATGACAGCTCAGTTTTAAAACTAGAGCCAAACATTGAAATAATTACCGACATGCAAGATTTGGAGCTGAGAATAGAACACAGTGGAGTATGCCTCACTGTCTTGAAGATACATAGCTTCCAGAAATTCTAAGAATGACCAAGACACTCAAACAGGGAATGGTAATATATCATCCAGTAAATAAAGTCCTTTGCAGACATGTCTGAGGGAGATGAGCATTGTCTCCCGGGCCACAGTCATAGCCTTGTGAAGAGTACCAGTTAGGGTTCCATCGCAGGCAATCAACTCTAGCTGACCTAAGCAATAAAGGATTTATTTGAAGGATATGAGGAGCTCTTAAGATCAGAGGGAAGCTGAAGAACTGGACTCAGGTTAGGAACTCTGAAAGCTCCAGAAGTTTTTTTAACAGGAATTGCTTAAGAATCTTGCTTTCATTCCTCTACTGGATTAAATGAACTCCAGATGTTTAAATTGCCCCATTCAAGATTCAAAATCCTGGAAGTGTGCAAAGCCAGGTCAAAAATCACCTCCTGGCGGTTCTGGAGCTTTGAGAGAATGACCCTTCAGGAACTCCTTTGGCTTAAATGGTTTGAGAGCAAAAGTACACTTGACCCTTGAATGACACAGGTTTGAACTGCATTGGTCCACTTACCCTCAGACTTTTTTCAGTAGTAAATACCACGGTACTACACAGTCTGTGGTTGGTTGAATCTGCAGGTTCAGAACCACGGATACAGGGAACTGTGGATACGGAGGGCCGACTATAAGTTATTCGGGGATTTTTGACTGTGAAGAGAGTCGGCACCCCTAACCCCTCCGTTGTTCAAGGGCCAAGCGTATCTGGATTTACTGGTCAACTGCAAAAGGAGAGTGGGGTTTCATCCAAAGAAAATTGAGTATTGTGGAGAATTTGGCTAGACAAGAAAGTGGTAAATGACCAGCTGGTCACACGAGGCTAGTACTGCCAAGGGCAGTATTATGACTCCGGTGGGCATGCTGGACATATGAGCAATGTACATTACAGTTTGTGTGGACAGGCCTTTAGGGAATGTTTGGTCCAATCCCGTAAGCTTTACCACTTGATGATGGATTGCTACTTGGCATGCCCAACTCTGCAGCCAGGTGATCACCTTTTAACTTGTAATTTATGTTGTTACAGATAGTAGGTGTAAAACAGAACAGTGGAGACTGAAGTATAACATGGGTTTTTGTTTTATTTCCAGAAAGTACAAGCCCATTCCTCTGATAGGCAGTTAGCGTGAAGGGCTGATCATTGCCATTTCTCTTAGAGAAGAGTTAGGCTGAGTCTGGGCTGTAGCTTTAACAAGATTGAGTAGACCAGGCTTAGCCCAACCCCTACCCTCTCAGGCAGTTGCCTTTTGATCTTGGCAGTATTTGAGCTGGGAGGGGTTTGGGTGCAGGTTCAGATGTTTGTGGTTCTTCTCTATATTCAGTTCTGACAGGGTTCTGGCATCCAGTCACCATGAGAATGCACAAGACTTTGAGCCCCTCTTCTGCCATTTTCTCTGAAAAATCCAGGGAAGAGGACTTGTCGAGCCTAGCAGTTTGTTTTTAAATGTGTTTCCAGATTTCAATCACTATTGTCTGAGTGTTGGCTGAATTCTCCACATGCCTGCAAAGTCTCTCCGTTCAAGGGAGGCCTGCTCTTCCACACACTGTATCCATTCTCAGGAGTCTACCCTGGTATAAAAAAAAGTACCAAGGCTCTCTGCTCATTTCAGAAGGGCTTATTTCTGCCTGGAAGTCAGTTAATGAAAAAGTCCTTGCATCTACTGTTCTTTGCTTGTCTCCCGGAAAAATATTATTTTTATTTTGTCTGGCCTTTTCTTGTTACTATATGGAAGTGAAAGTCTTTTGCATCCTTCTACGTTCTAGCAGAAGAAATTGTGCAGGGATTTATTATAAGTCACGTAAAGTTCATTTTCAGCTTTATAAGTTTCAGTCCCAGTTGTGGAACTCTATGTTAGAGAGTGCGCTAGAGAGCGCATGCACAGTGTAGCCTTGGGCAAAATCTCTTTACTTTCGTGGGCATCTGTTCCCTTATCTGTAAATAGAAATCATAATGTGTACCTTCTGTTATTGTTTTAAGAAACATGAAAATGCCTTGGAAACTAGCAAGTGAACATGTCTGCAGGTCATCACGTCCTTAGAGTCGTCATCTCACATTTTTGGGCTTCCATTTCCTTATCTGTGCAATAATGGAAATGCTGAAATAGACGTGCTTTAAGTTCCCATCCCAGTTTTCACTAAACAGCACACTGATGCAACAGTGGCCGTGTTGATAGACATTTTGGGGCCTTAGCAATACTGACCTGATCATCAGGACTTCTAAACTGGGTGACTTTCTTAGCTACTGATGGGTGTCAGCCTTGGTAAATGGACTTGTTTTTGTTTTCTTTAAATTGGAGTCTTCAAGAATGGAGCCTTTTTTTTTTTTTTTTTTTCTGCATTGGGTCTTCATTGCTGCGCACAGGCTTTCTCTAGTTGTGGCGAGTGGAGGCTACTCTTCGTTGCGGTGCGCAGCCTTCTCAATGTGGAGGCTTCTCTTGTGGAGTACGGGCTCTAGGCACGCGGGCTTCAGTGGTTGCAGCACAGGGGCTCAGTAGTTGCAGAGCATGGGATTCAGTAGTTGCGGCACGTGGGCTTAATAGTTGCATCACATGGGCTCTAGAGCGCAGGCTCAGTAGTTGTGGCGCACAGGCTTAGTTGCTTCGTGGCATGTGGGATCTTCCCAGACCAGGGGTTGAACCCATGTCCCCTGCATTGGCAGGCGGATTCTTAATCACTGTGACCCCAGGGAAGTTCCTGGACTTGTTTTAATAGGCATAAGTTATGAAACATGCCATTAGGTAAAGTCATAGACACTTCCAGGTACTTGGTGTTTTTGTTTATTAAATGTGTTTCTTGGGCTCTTTTGAAGCTGTAAGCTTTTTCATTGGTTTACTTTGAATGTCCAAAGATCTGCTACTTTATATAATTTTTTTTATAATTTGAAGATAGGATTGGGGTACAACCTCCTTAGTGGTTGATGGAATTAATTTCTTCCATAAACGGAGGTTCTTCTTGGTGAATACATTTATAGACGCCAGTCTTTTAACTAGTTTAAAAGACCAGATCAATATTGGAGTTGTTTACATGGAAGTAGGCCATTATTTTTTAAAGCTGTGCTGAGCTGAAGTTTACCTTTGAACTATTTATGGAAAACAGGCTTATGCAATAAATATAATCAAGATTTTTCTTTACCCATAAGTGTGTTTAATACATTACAGTAAGAGCTTTCACAAACATTTTAGTAAAATAGGTGCAGAGCAGGTCTGAGTTTCTGAAACAAGCCAACCCTATTTAAGAACTTTACCAAAATAAAGTATGTATTATTGCTGCCAACAATTACATGTTATGACATTTAAAAAGCTGTGCCCCTCTGTTTGTCGCTTATGTATTTGAAGGTAATAAAACTGTATTACTTTTTAAAACATTCTATAATTTAGATTTCTTACTGATTGAGACTGGTCTTTCCTGCAGTTAATCCAAATGAGGAACTCTATGGAAAAGCTAATGGCTTGGCGGGTAGGGGAGGTTACTTCCGTTACTAAAGATAAGCCATTGAAGAACTACAAGACTTACCTACGAAAGGCTTGTTTCTCAGTTTGTCAAGAGTTCTTTGCGTCATCACTCTTTCCTAGCCCCGTAAAAAAGTATTTTATTTTGTCTAGGTTTTTATCAGACTAAAATGTCCAAGCTCATCATTGATCCATTTATTTTCGGTAATAATTTCAATAGAATTACAATATAAGCAAAAACAATAGGCACCCTTGGAGTATTAGTGAATTGCTTGTATACATCACTTTAATCATTTGGTGAATATGTATGATGAGTGGCCCAATAATAGCTAATATTGACCAAAGAATTAAATGAATGCTAGGGAGAAGAAAAAAATTAGTGGTTATTCTTTAAATATCTATATAGTTAATTCTTGATAATTTGTGCATTATTGGTAGTGGGATAGACATAAATAATAGAAACCTGTATCATTCAAAATCTCAAAGGCAAAAGCTGCACTGTGTTCTCTCAAACCTTTACACATTGTTGATTGCTCTGGTGCTCATCTAATTTCCTGATTACTTACCCATCAGGAAAGTATATTCAAGATCCATGCTAGACCTAAAAGTCAGGTTAATAGGAGGAAGATGAGGAAAAAACAAAGATGAACTTGCTGTTCTCAAATCACTAAGATTTGTTTCTTCTTGCAGGGAAGATGGATTGGAAAGAAATCTTGTGGCCTGATATAAATGCTGATAGATTTGTAAGTCCACCGTTATCTGAATGAATGATTTAAATATGCCCTTCGCACTGCCCTGCACTCCCTCAGCACCACTTACATCTTTATCTACTTACACATTCCCTGCTCTACTTTGTCCAGGTGCCAGCAAGTAAGGATCTGGGGAGAAAGAGGAAGCGGTAACAAGTGGCACCTTTGAGCTGGCTGTCACACCAGTTTTGTTTGGAGTGAGGACAGGAACAAAACCTTGCATGAAGCCTTCAGGACAGAAGAGAGGCAGGGACTGAAGGAGGGAAAAAGCCCCAAAGCTGCAGGCCTGTCTGAAGGCCACTGAAAGTGTGGGTGGAAACAGGTATCCTTTCTGCATACACCAGTAGCAACTGCTGAGGTGAGTGGAGGTGTGGAAGAAGCACAACTGCTTCTAACCCTGCTGGTGAAACTCTATGGAGGCACTTTGAAGAAAAGGGAACAATAAGTTAGGAAAAATTTTTAAAGTTTGTCAGATCCCAGTGCACTGAAATCCTGGGGTGAGGTCCCTGAGGAACTGTAGTGCTTGGCTGAAACCACGTGTCATTCACATGGAGAGCACAGTTTAAAAGATGACAGGAACAAGGGTAAACAGCCTCTTGATTATGGTCTGAAAGAGAGCTGCTGTTTCTCTCCAGTTATACAAAGTCACAAGGGCTTCAACCAACAGATGTCAATGCACACTTGATACGAGATGCAGAAAAGACTCAGCCTTCGTTTTGAGAAATTTATTAAAATAAGGACAAGCATCAGTTGTACATAGAAATAATCATTTGCACTAAGTGGTACTCAAGCAGAAGAGCAGTTTTAAATATATTAAAAAAAATCACAAAATACATTGGTTAAGGCACCTACATCTTGTCTCATGTTTTCAATAAATATGCTGTTTTTTAAAAGGGCAGTAGTGAGGACCTCTGATTAAAGAATACAGGCACTGTGCTATTAAAGATAGTCATATTTTGCTGTGGCCACTGTGATTTATTCTCAAAAGAACTTTCATTAGCTTGGTTTAGCATTTAAAAAAGCAAAACTGAGTATGAAAAAAATCACAGTTTTCTCTTTCCAGTCTTAAGTCTCTTCCAGAGAGACCTATGTACAAAAGGTACTATTTCTTCATATATTCCTTAGTAACAAGGAATTATGCAGAAGGTGCAAGAGTGCCTCCCAGAAGGTAAAGCCATCAGAGATTGAATGTTTCAGAACAGCATGAGTCTTTGGGAAAGTATTTTTTTTCAACTGCAGTAAAATCAGCTGGGTTTAGAAAACTCCGGACCTTACAGCATCCAAGAAGTGCCCTCTGTTCAAGGAGTTTTGTTAAGCAGTTGAGGGAAACCAGGTCCAGCTCCTGTGTTGTACAGGGTAGACAAAGCAGCAGCCTGGGAGTCAAGTGGCCTGGGTGCTCGTTCAGTGCCACCAGTACTTCCAAAATGCCAATTTGGCACTTTGGTTACAGTGCTCATTAGTTCATGAAGCCTGTGCTTGTGCATCGTCTTAGTTTGATCACCTATAAGATGAAAAGGTTGGAGCTTCCTGCGTTTTTGTCCGGTTCCAGCAGCTCGCTAGTCTGATGGTCTGAATTGTTTTTGGTCACAGCTGATGACGCTGCAGGTAATAGGCGCAGCCTCTCCATAGACACAATGACCACAGCAAAGAGGAGTAAAATTAAATGTCCACAACATTGCCAGATTGTTTGAGGCCTGGGTGCACATCTTTTCATCAAAGCCCTGTATGCTATTTTATTAAAAGACACCGTTTAACTGGAGTTACATTATTCACAGAAAACTATTAAGACTTCTTTTCTTATTAGATAATATAACTTCCGTGGCAGAACTAGGTTGCATAGATCTCTGAGATTAACTTCACATTTTCACACATTTGGTTTCTCCAGTCAGGTCATAGTTCAGCAACTAAGATACTGGGCAGTAAGGCTGGATACGGGCACGAGGGAAATACTAGCAAGAATCTTGACATGAGCCACTCCTCATTTGGGGTGAGATTTTCTTGTTTTTCTTTTTTTTTGTCAGCTGTATAGAAGGGGCTGCCCATCTCATTTCCTTTACTACTGGTATATGACATGGGAGAATGCGGGTTGGCAAGACTTAAGCTGGGAGACATGCTTTACTTTTTGGCAAGTAAACTAGACACATGGTCAAAGCTTTACGAAATCTGGGACCTACTGCTCAGATGCGGTAGAAAATACAACTAATTTCATTCTGAAATAATAATATTGCTTTTACCTGCTAAGGTTTGGTCTTCAGTTTTACTTTATATACACACACACACGTGTGTGTTTTTATATGTGTTGACTTTAAATTATAGAGAACATTTTTACCTCATTATAAAACATTAACTTTAAAGTCAATCATTGAGAAGCAGTTGGATAAGCATCTAATCACAAAAATAGAAAAAGAAATCACAGAGCACTTCAGAAAGAAACTCTGGTGCTGAAGGGCATTTAGTTGTTCTTCTCCAGGGACCTGTAATAATCTGTCAGGACTTTCCATGCTTTGGGGGCCATGAAGCCATCTGGGGGATTCTCTCCTTCCCGGGCCAGCTTCCTCATACGAGTTCCTGAGATGAAGTCAAACTCATTGTGCCTGTCAGAGGGTAGCAACAAAGAACTCGGCATAGGTAAATAACATCTACCTTGAAGATCCCAGGAGTAGGATGGGTTCTGAGACCACATTTTTTCTTTCTGTAAAATGCTGCATCTTCTAAAATAAGCAATTCACTAAATCTTCAGTAAAGGAACTGGCAGAAGAAAGGGAAATCATGGCAGCTACCCATTCAATACTGTGTACCTACTCAGTTCATGGGAGGCGTCTTCTATTAGCTCTGCCTACTTGTGTGAGCTCTGAGCGTGGTGCATGCTCTATAAATGCTCATTGAAGTCTTTTTCTGTGTTTACTTCCTTTCACATAATGTGCCAGGCACTCAGTGCATGCTCAAGGAATGTATGTTAAAAAAGAAATATATATGGACTATATGCAAGGGGCTGTGCTACAACTTCAGGGGGCACGAAATGTGCAAGACCAGGTCTTAGCTTTCAAGGGACTCTCATTCCAATTAGGAGCATGTGGAGATGTACTGGGGAGCTCTCCAAAATTTTGCCTCATCATTCCAGCTGTACAGATGTTGATTTAAAGAATTTTCCTCTGGGGCTTCCCTGGTGGCGCAGTGGTTGAGAGTCCGCCTGCCGATGCAGGGGATGTGGGTTCGTGCCCCGGTCTGGGAAGATCCCACATGCCGCGGAGCGGCTGGGCCCATGAGCCATGGCCGCTGAGCCTGCGCGTCCGGAGCCTGTGCTCCGCAACGGGAGAGGCCACAACAGTGAGAGGCCCGCGTAACGCAAAAAAATTAAAAAATAAAAAATAAGAATTTTCCTCTGAAAACCTACCTTGCTGGATCATAGAAGTCCATGGCTTTTTTGGCTTTGTTGTAGGCAGCCACTCGGAATGGAATGATTTCCACAGAGGTGAGGCCAGGGGCCATGGTCAAGACCTTGGCCCCATGAGTAGGTTCATACAGGTCTTTCTTGGTCTCAGGGTGGGGCATTCCTGCAGGGTCCCGGCCCACAATGTAGAAATTGGCCCCTGCAACCATCCGGGACCTGCAGTGCCATTGGACCTAGGAAACATCACATAAAGGACATGCTGGTCATCACTGGCCAATCCTGTGGGGTCCCTGTTTATGGAGACACCCCTTTATTCTGCTTTAAAAGTAATTCAGCGATGTGGGTCAACTAATAATTGCAAGGAAGTCAGTGAGGTGTCGAAGACTCCTGCTCTTGTCATCTTTTTGGTTATATTGGGTAGGATATAGGAGCTTTAAAGATAAGAATCCTCCCTCTTAGACCATGAATTTATATTTCCTAATCTCTCCAGACTAACAGACCAGTGACACTCAGATCTTACTGTTCCACAGAACTATGTGGATTTTACTTTCCAGTTCCTCCCTATTCAAAATAAATCACAGTTTAAGGGAAATTACAAACTCCAATATCTCTTTACCATCTGACTGTCAGTAATGAGCAAATTAACCTTCATACGCAGACATTGATTACATTTCGACACAGCATTGGGATTTCAAAATAAGTTGCCCTCGTTAGAGCTCAGATAGAAATATAAAGGATGGGGAAGAGAGCCAGGGGCCTGGAACTTTGATCTGGTTGAAGATAATTAATTCATTAAACTCAGTTTGGAGCATTCCAAAGGGTTGAGACCTTTTCAGTTCATCATAGTTCCTGTAAACTTGTTGAAATCCACTACACTGGGGGTGCAGTGGGACAAAGAAAGTCTCTGTTTGATAGGCTCAGTGTGTTATGATGAAAGGGAGACATTAAGGTTTTAAAGACATCTTCTCCCTTCTAATATAGCTCACCGAGCATGGTGAATCACTTAAGAGTAACTGGAACAGCTGAAATACTGGGCTAGATACATCTTGCCCTGTAACCCAGGTAAGCTGTGTTAAACACCTCGTTCACATACCAACTTCCACAGTCTCAAAGGCAGTGTATGACAGGTTTGATTTGGTGTTTCTAGCATTTTCACAAATACTATATGGAAACATAATTAAGTTTGATAAAGTAAAGAGACCAGAAGATTTTAGAATCTGCTCATGAAGAAGAATCCCAGAAACTCACTGGCTCGTCTAAGTAAAATTAGATGCTGAGTCCCATAGCCCAGCCCAGGGAGCTGCTTACCTCTGTGGGGCCAGCATACAACATGGGAGATGGGAAGATGGCCACGATGGTGGATTTGGGATCTAGAACCTCCTCCTCGAGCACAGCTGTGTGCTGCTTCATCCGCCAGTCCAGGGGCACATCATCATCCTTGGTCCAGCCCCCCAGGGGGTGCAGCAGGAGGACCGGGTGCTTGTAGCCTCTCTCCAGGAGCCGGCGGCGGGTGTCCTGCATCAGCAGAGCATGGCCGTTGTGGACAGGATTGCGCAACTGGAATGCGAACACTGCATCTGGGAAAGGAAAGCAGAAACAGCACGGTCAAAGACATGCACTGTCTGCAAGAACAGAAACGAAAAGGTGCAGCTGTGTCTATTGTTCAGTGAACTTGTTACATCCACTTGCTTTTAAGGACTGGCTGGAGAATCCACCTGGACCTTTAGGGGTGTTACTCGAAAGGTACCAACCAGTGCCAGACTGCTTAGACAGGAATAGGACACAAAGGTAGGAAGCCCTAAAGGGAGAGCCTGACTCAGAAATGAACATTTGTTGCCAGGACCTTTCCTACAAACCAAGGCTCAGGCAGGGGCCAGTATTAATCAGTCCTCTTGTACCCTGCTCCAGCCTCATTTCCCTGGGAAGTGAATATTGATAAGGAACGTTTTCTGGGGTCTGTGCAAAAGTTTAACAATTTAAAGATATAAAAATATTTCTCCTTCACTTTAGGGAAGTCTTCAAAACTACTCCAATTAGTGATGAACTCCTGAGAACCTTAATTTTTCTTGTTATGAAATAATATATATCCATCAGAGAAAACTTAGAAAATACAGAAAAGCCCAAAATAGAATTTAAAAATCATCCATCATCCTATCATTACTTTTTCTCTCTCTTTTTCAAAATATGTAAAGTGAAAATCTTCCCTTCCCCTTGGTCCCGCTTTACCCCTAGAGGTAGCTGCTGCCATCTGCAGTTTGGTGCACATGCTGCCAGAGATTTCTGCTACACACAGAAGTAGGTTTGAGTTTTTAAAGCAATTATTACATTTTATTTTGTTTTCCAGAATTATTCTATACATATCGTTCTGCAGTTTGCTTTTTTTTTTTTTTGCGGTACACGGGCCTCTCACTGTTGTGGCCTCTCCCGTTGCGGAGCACAGGCTCCGGACGCGCAGGCTCAGCGGCCATGGCTCACGGGCCTACCCACTCCGCGGCATGTGGGATCTTCCCGGACCGGGGCACGAACCCGTGTCCCCTGCATCGGCAGGCGGACTCTCAACCACTGCACCACCAGGGAAGCCCCAGTTTGCTTTTTTTACTTAATAGATATATTTTGGGTATCTTTCTGGGTCAGTGCATATTTTTAACTACTGCATAATATTGCAGTAGTTCAACTTTATAAGGTGTTTCCATATCAACAGACATATCAATAGAAGATGATAAAAATTTTCAGCTTTTCAAAACTATAAACATGCTGTTTCCTGATAATCCTTAATTCTGTAAGCAGAGGAGGGTTAGGAGTATTAACAAATGCCGTAGAGCCAGGCTACATACCAGCATTCATTTGTTTACATTTCTGTTTGAGCTCCAGAGGTGTCAGGCGGTATTGGTCCAACCCATCATTCCACCGTATTCTCTCCAGCACCTGAAGGTCACCACCAACCAGCCAATCCCCACTTTCCATCACCATCTAGAAAGACCGTTATTAAAGTTGTTAGTGATTAATACTGTTTTCCATTTTATCTAAAATTTTTTCTTCTTCTGAACCAATCTTGGCTTACTTGAAGAACTGCCTTCAGTTTTTCAACATTTCAAGCACAGTATTTATCAAACTTGTTGGTCTCTCAAATCCTTTATTACTCTTAAAAATTATTGAGGACCCGCAAAGAGCTTTTGTTTATATTGGTTATATCTATAATTTTCTGTATTAGAAATTAAAACTTAATTTCCTTAAAAATATTTATTGACTTAAAGCTAACAATAAGTCTATTAAATATTAACATAAACATTTTGTTTTTTACTGAAAAATATTTTCCTAAAACATAAGAGAAAAATGGCATTGTTTTACATGTTTGCAAATCTCTTCATTATCTGACTTAATAGAAGGCAGCTGGCTTCTCATATCTACTTTTGCATTTATTCTGTGGCAATATGTTATTTTGGCTGAAATATGTAAAGAAAATTCAACTACAGATAGGTAGTTGGAAAAGGGAAGAGTATCTGAATAGCCTTTTTCTATCATGTGGATATTCTTCTTTGATATAGAATATTAAATAACCTAATTTAAAAATCAGCAACTTTAACAGACATTTTTCCAAATAAGATGTACAAATGGCCAACCCAACAGGGATATGAAAAGATGTTCAACATCACTCATCACTGGAGAAATGCAACCTCACACCCATTAGGATGGCTACTATCAAAAACAGAAAATAACAAGTGTGGACAAGGATGTGGAGAACCCCCATGTGTACTGTTGGTGGGACTGTAAAATGGTGCAACAGTATGGAGTTTTTTCAAAAAATTAAAAATACAATTACCACATGATCCAGTAATCCAATTTCTGGGTATATATCCAAAAGAATTAAAAGCAACGTCTCACAGAGATTTGCACAACCATATTCATAGCAGCACCATTCACAATAGCTAAAAGGTGGAAGCAACCCAAATATCTATTGAAAGATGAATGGATGAACAATGAATGTGAATGGTATACATACAATGGAATATTATTCAGCCTTCACAACAAAGGAAATCCAGCCAGAGACTACAAGGGGGATGAAACTTGAAGACATTATGCTAAGTGAAAAAGCCGTTCACAAAAAGATAAATACTGTATTTTTCCACTTACATGGGTATCTAAAGTAGTCAACTTCATAGAAAAAAGAATGGTTGATACCAGGGTCTGGGAAAGGGAAAGAGTTGTTGTTTAATAGGTATGGAGTTTCAGATTTTCAAGATGAAAAAGTTTTGAAGATCTGTTTCACAACAATGTAAATATACTTAACACTACTGGATAGTGCACTTAAAAATGGATAAGATGGTAAATTTTATGTTACATGTTTTTTACCTAAATAAGTAAATAGATAGATGGTAGATAGATAGATGATAGATGACAAGACTCATTTTTCACTGAGGTCACTATAAATACTCTACTTTTCGATACCCAGTCTCAGTTGAAAAAGTGACTTCAGGGAAGGGTGGGTAAGGAACAGAACATGGAGACTTTTAGAAAGAACCATCTATACATTGTCCCACACTTTAGATGGCCCAACTCTGGCGTCTTCAATTGTGCCCCTTCTGTCAGGGCAAGGAAACCCTGGTGGGCAGGCCCACCTGAAGTCTGCATTTACTCTCCACCATGAGATATGTACCTGGGACATTCAGCCTGGGGTGCCCACAGGCAGACCCAGAGGGCCTCCACAGCATGGGGCAAGGCCAAGCATAGAAAGAGAAGGAAGGGTTGGCTGCAGGCCAAGAGCCAGCTGTCCACACACTACCATGTTCTGGTACAGAACCAAGAAGCCTAAATTTGAACCTGGCCTTCCAGATTGTGATCAAGGCATATTGCCAAAGTAGAAAGATAAAACATATTTAAGTTTATTAGTTAGATAAGTAACTTTTAAATATGGTATTGGGCTTCAGCTCATATTGTTACCCTGGGTTGCACAAATATTAGGTGTGAACCTGGTGTGAAGAATGGTCAAAGTAATGAAAAAGAAAAGCCTGACAGTGTTTGATGAAAGGAGAGGGTTAGCACTTTCCTTGACAAGGATGGATGGAAGAGGCCCCAGGCCTGACAACACACGTATGGGTAATGCATTGCCACATTGTCACATTGTGACATCTAACCATGGTTTTTATGTTGTACATCTGAAACTTATACATTGTTATGTGTTCATCTTATCTCAACTTGAGCAAAGAAAAACATGACAAGCCTTTGTTTTCTATAAACTTAAATATGTTCCACATGATGCTGCAGTGCCACAAGTCACGACTGAGAGCAGGTGTCTCTCCTCAGTCATTGAGACAAACGTTACAGAACGTCTTACTTCTCAATCATAGTTGTGCAGTCATTCCCCTGATCAAATTCCATAACTGCCTTTTGCAGTGCCCAAGGAGTGTGGCCAGCCTGTAATGGCAGCAGAAAAGAGGGAGGCAAGAAAAGGGGAGAGAAAGCTGATTGATTTATGACACCAATTCAGAAGACATCAAGGTGGTGATGGTATACCCCTGGTTCAATTTCCTGTCATGGCCAGATGTTGGCGTTTACAATGACTTGCATTCCAGAGGTTTTCAGGGAATGGGAGGTTGGGCTAGAGCCAGGGTTCTCAACAGAGGGCGATTTTGCCTCTCCTGACGACACCTGACAATATCTGAAGACAACTGTGACCATCACTACTGGAGTGGGGAAGGGTGTGTTATTGGCATCTAGTGATTAGAGGCCAGGAATGCTTCTCAATATCCTACATTGCACAGGACAGCCCCCGAAACAAAGGAAACCCTGGGTAGAGAAAGGGTGATTTGCAAGGGATTTGCTTGCTTTTTCATGGACCCCCTTCTAAACTCTGTGCTCAGGAGAATCACTTAACAAGAATATTGTCAAATACCCATACCTAGACATTTACTTTCTCCTCATTGCTTAAACTGCAGATAAAATTTTGAAAGAGTTACCCCAGATCCCTGGGCATGCAGCAACTCATTCTGGGCACAAGGGGTCCACCCTATATTGTTCTATTGGCAAAGGCAATATTGAACCTGTTTCATTCACCATCCAGCCTAAAAATACATCTGGAGAACAATGCTGAAACTATGCTTTTGGCATTTCTGGGATCAGGAGGGACAGAGAGCATCTCTATCCCCAAGGTGGCTCAACTGTCCCCAGAACTGTGGTCCAGCTATCAGGAAGGGAGGTCCAGGGGCTCTAATTTCCAAGGGCTTTGTGGCCCATAAGTACCCACTTCCTTCCAAGCCTCCTGCCAAAGGCAGGTGTGGGACCACAGCTAGAGTTTGCAGAACT